GGGGGGCGCGCTGAGGGAGGGAAGCAGGCGTCGCTCTCTCCGTCGGAACGTGATTATTCAGCGCGCCGGCTTAAAGATGACTGCCGGTTATTGGAGACTGCGCACTATTGCGGCCGATGCGCCGCGCCGTAATCCCGTCATCGACAGACCGACGGCGCTGCCGCCGCAGCAGCCGCAGCCACGACGACCCCGCCGACCCGCCGAGCTGTTGTACAAGCTGCGCAGCGCCCGCCTCGCACCTCCGCGCCCCGTCTTCGCGCAGCCCGCGCGCTCCCTGCGGACTCCGCCAAGTGTGCGTCTCTTTAGGTAAATGTTTGAAGGCCATAAAAGTCGCGCCAATGATTTTATACACGCGGCGAAACTAATATATCGTTTCAATTAAATCCGTTCAATCGCGTCGTACTTTAATTTTATGATTAATTATTCAAATGTGGAAGAAAATGTTACCTGGGTTCTAACTGTAGGGGATCGTCAAAATTAAACGCATTACTTCCGACTGATATTACTTTTGTACTATAAACAATGCAAATGAAACATTATGTTTGTTATAAAACAATGCTTAATTACAACTAGTAGAATAATAATGTTTATAGTATGACTGGTTATGAAATACATAATAATTTTAAATAAATGTTATATTTTTCAATTAATATAATTACATTACAATAATGCAAACAGTTCCGCATTAAGAACAGTTTCCATAGTTAAAATTAACGGAACTGCACCCTGAATTTTCTAAATCAATCCCTACATCACGTATATTTTGAAGATGAAAATGGTTACATACAATTTACGTAAGTTCTAATCGGAAATAAAGACTAGGTTTTAAGTTCTGAGAATTTTGGCGAGCTAATGGGGCATTGTGGGAGAGGTGCTGATGACCCGAAAGATTTTACCTTACGTGTCAAAGCTTTTTGCACGCACTCTGACGAACAAACATTCCTTAACGATTGCAGGAAGACGCCCTTTGCATACGCGGCAATGACAGAACAGGAGTTAATGGCGACAGCACTGATGCTGGCCAGAGGACTAGCCAGATATTCCTTCACAGTGAGCTGCACAAAGATACGTTCGCAACCAAATGGACGGGCACCTTTTCTCGTTACATTTCAGGAACGTTTGTCACATTTTTTCATTTTTAACAATATATTGATAATATATATTTGGGCCTTCAAAATTTTCTACTTTCAAAGGAGAATACCATGACCCCACAATATTAGGTAGGTTTATTTCTTTAGTTCACAAAGATGTTTAGTCTCCCCATTTCACGTGGTTGTCCTTGGTTATTCGTACGCACTCTAAGCTATCGGAGATGCCAGTGAGAGTGAAGAGTGGCCGTAGAAGAGTTGGAACGGAAGTGCTGGTAAGGCGGCGTGGGTGGAGGGGACGGCTGCGCTTCCAGCTGCTAGAGAGGAGATGGCAGCCAACGCAGCGAATCGTGACCGCGTCTTCAAGCGCGCAGGCTCATTAGGGAATAAAAAGGAAATATTTCGTAACAAGGTAACTTTGGGAGGAAGGTGCACGGTGTTATCCTGATCGAGGCATTAATGGTTCCCCTGAAATTCCACCAACGCTTTCAGCTGCTTATAAGAGATGAAATATGTTCGAACCTTCTTCCCCACAAGTGCTTTTATAGTCTTACGACAATAACGACTCGACAGAATTTTCGTAATATATA